GACTCTGTATGAGTCTGTTCCTTCTTGTGGCCTCCTTTCGGATTCTGCTTGAATCTGCTCGATTCGGGCCGAACTTTCTCTTTTGCTCGACTCTCCTCGACTCTCCTCGACTGCCCACAACACGCTTTCTTACAAATTTATATCCTGATTTACATAACTTAAATAAACAAGTGCAAGAATGTGAAACTTCTATGCTTAATTGCTCTAATGTAATGTATTTCATCACACAATATTCCAATTACACCGATATTCAGTGAAAACAATCAATGCTTCCATCCACTTCCATCAACCATTATACTAACGCTAACATCGTAGACCTACTAACCATCGCCACTCAAAATGTGTATTTCACTTTTGGCCCACGCATCTATCAGCAGAAGAAAGKCCTCYMTATGGGYTSAAGCTTCTCGGGGATACTAGCCATCCTCTTTATGGACACACTGGAACGGCAATCCCTCTCGGCCTGCACCTATATTAGCCAATATAGCAGGTACGTCGATGATGTTTACGCCCAAACCAGGGACGAGGAACATGCAGACAGGTTCCATGCGATAATGAGATCACAACACAACAACATTGACTTTGAGATAGAGAAACCCACCAAAGCACTTGATGGCCACTCCCTCTCACTACTTGACTTCACCGTGTCAGTAACTAATGACGGTTCGACCAATTTCGACTTCTACAAGAAGAAGGCAAAGAAACCGCTATTTGTTAATTATCGATCATGGCTCCCCAGACCATCCAAAGTCAACTTCATCATGAATGAAAGAAAACGRATAAAGCAAAGATGTACATCTACGAACACCGCCACACAACGAGACTTGGAATTTGACGAAATCCTGAAGGGAAACGGATATCCACCAAACTTCATCAACGAAACCAAACTAGAAGCCAAGCAAAGAACCGTKGAACAACACCACCCCAACGACACTAACCCAGACAAATGGCTTTATTTCAGCATCCCTTACATATCAGATAGTCTCGATAGACGACTCAAGAATATCTTTCGGAAGGAGGGTCTCAACGTAAGAATTACACACAAATCACAAACTATGCGCAACGCTCTCAAACGTCCGGTTGAAAGATATACATGCAAAATCGTCAACTGTCCTGTAGCTGAATCAAAGAAGTGTTTCAACGCGGAGTAGTATATGAAATCACATGCGCAAAATGTGGATCCACATACATCGGCAGTACCATCAGACATTTACACGACAGAATTAAAGAACATCTCACAATCACAGAATCGTCGGTGTCTTTACACTTGAACACCTGCTCGAAAACCAAAGAAATCAAAATTAGAGTAATCGCACGCGACAGGGATCCCRCCWACTTACGCCTCTTGGAAGCCTTATATATAAAATCTTTAACGCCCACCATCAATTCACGCGACGAACACAAAGAASTACAAGATTTGTTATTCTAATTGACTATGTTCCCTTTTGTTCGCCCGTTGCCCTTTGTTCGCCCTTTGACTATCCATCTATACGCTTGACCGCTTCTCCTTATATTTTACGTTTTTATTCTATCTCGCCCATTCCCTGATGATGCTGTAGACAGCGAAAGCTCGGAATCATATTTTTGTTGTAAACTCGATACACTTAGCGGCTTCGGCGAGCGAATGCGCACGCTTTAAAATGTATATCTTATCATCGCGTGCTCTTAGAAAAATGCGGGTTACCTGTGGTGTACGTCACGATTCCTTGTTGCCTCACGGGTCGACACACTAATCTGTGACAAGGAAACACTGGACACGTGATGGACCGATGTGTGCACTAGGTAGATGGGACAGTAATCGGGAAACGAAGATTCGACGAGTGGACGAGCTTTCACCGAAGGTAGGGCAGAAAATATGGCGTGTCATAATTTTTCGTCAGAAAGTTCGCAGCAGTGCTAAGAAATACTTTCTCGTTTTTAGCACGAATTGTTTTCTAAACAAGTCCAATATTTCACCGAAAAAACCGAACTTATACTGCCCAAGAATTACGAAATTGTCCTTAAGTAGCATTATGAGTTAAAATTATCGAGAGTTGAGGGCCATTCACTATACAGTCGAAAGTCAAATAAGTTTTACAAAGCATCACCAGGTCATGAAAATCTCAAACAACGGTAATACTAGTAGAATTACGTTTACGAGTACTTCTTTTGTCATGCGTCACGTCAACTTGGAGTCGTAAACTTGAAAACATTAGCCTAATCTTTTCAAGTTTACTCGCGCATGCGTGCCATTGACAGTGTCCCTTTAATCCGTGCAACTGTACAAAATCTAAGTAGTACTAATTTGTACTAAAAGTGGACCTGTAGCAAGACGGTATTGAATGCTTCGATCATTTGTATCAATTCAATTTAATTTGCGTATTGCATGCACGATTTACCGATTTACCGTTTACAACTAAACATCACTATTTAGTTTGTACAGTTGCACGGATTAATTAAGCTTTTGTATTTTAGAAAAGCTCTATGTAAAATGGAATTACAAGTAAGTCGTTTTCGGAGAGAAAACATAAGCACTGGTTTATTGAGTGGTTAGAACAGAATTTGATGAAGAATTTTTCATTCAACAGATTATTATCGTTCGAGTAGTGTTTTCATACCATTCTAACCTGACGGTCGTTCGCCAGAAAAAAAAATAATCTAAATCATAATTTAAATTATCTAGTTTCATTAATAATCTAAATTATCTAGTTTCAATAACGTTGTCAAACATAGTACCCATTATACACTACTAGCATAAATTGTAAATACTAGATAGAATAAATAGAGCAGAAAAACAAACAAGGATGTCCTTTAGAAAAAGCAATTTATACCATTAATTTTAGAAAAAAGACCTTCCCGTTTACAATTTGAATTCCCAATTTGAATTCTTCGCTACATGTCTCTTGCTTTTTATCAAATACTCCGTAGCATGCGCAATTTGTTCATTTGTAAAAATAGCCACACTCTTCATTTTAACGCTTTGTATCAAATAGTTGGGTAGAAAGAAGCCTTTGCGGCGGAAATGAAAGTTTTGGGGGTGAAACTAGAACAGAACGAATCTCGTCATTGGGCTAAGAAAACAATGTACAAACTCGTAATCAGCCTTTGCAAAGCTATTTTGTTGAATATTTCTATTTATTTTTCGGTCCGGTATCCTAGTCATCCGAGCGTTGT